TATTAATGGTTAGTTTGGTTTGCATTTTGCTGTAAAGCTCTTGTAGAATTTCTCTTGATGCTTGTTCACTTTTTCAGGCTAACTTCAACGACAAGTATGAAGAGAACAGGAAGAAGTGGGGTGGTGGTATCATGGGCTCTAAGTCACAGGCCAGAACCAAGGCCAAAGAGAGAGTCCTTGCCAAGGAAGCTGCCCAGAGATTGAACTAAGAGCTTGCTGTGATATATACACTGCAATTTAATTAGAGAGATGCTCTACCAAGTTTTGTATTTGGTTCACATGCTTTACATTGTTAAAGATATCAAGTACCTTTTTGTTTGCCTTGACAATGAATTATTAAATTTTTTGTTTAGTATGTGTTTTTATGCCTTCGAAATGGCGTAGTTATTCAAATTACTACACTTCCAAGTTCTTTCGTGAATCAGTGCACCTAAATGGATGCTTCAAAGCTCAATGTTCGGAGTCTGAACTGTGTTATGTACACCACTTAAGTATATGGAATTTTTAGAAATGTTGGTAATCAGTTCAGAAGAAGTCGATAACTTGGGGAAACAACCATAAAGAATATTAAGTTTAATTAGCAACTTTCTAGCGTACAAAAACAAAATTTAAAAACACTAAATATTTTGGGGCAAGGAAAAGAACCTAATATGCTCTTTTCGAAAATCAAAGAAAGCAAAAAAGTGATTCGTATATCACAATATTAGTCATTAGTCAATCTATTTGAAATCCATCTTGAAGGTAAAACAAAGAGTGAACCATTTGCAAAACATGATTAGGAGAAAATTTAAATCTAAAGGCATAGCTTCAAATTTTAATTATATCTATAATCAGATTTTATTCCACATTGAATTTGGCCATTTTCCAACTAATTTGCAAACTGACTATTATTTAAAGAGAAAATTGTATATAATGACAAACTAATAAATCAAATTAATTGCTATAACCATTCTTTGATTTAATTGTTCCATAGAAAACTGTTGGCCAGTCATCTCTCTCCCTCAAACTCTCATTCGTCACTCTCCTCTCTCGCTCGCTTCCTCTCACTTTTATACAAATACAAGTGTATAAAATATATTTCTATTTGTATAAAGCGAGACGAAATTGAATAAATACATATATTTTTATTTCCCTCTCCCAGATCTCGCTCGTCACTCTCCCTAATCTCGCTCGCCAACCTCGCCTCTCTCGCTTATACAAACAAAAATGAAATGTATAAATTGCGTTTCTGTTAGTATAAAGCGAGAGAAAATTAAATATATATACATGTAACTACATATATTTTCATCCTATATACTTATAATTATACAATGAAAATACTCACCTGCCCAGTTTCTTTTGCCTTTTTCTCTTTCTCGTTTTATACAAATTCAAATTGTATATAATTTCTCTCTTTCTCGTTTTATAAAATTCGATTCAATTGTATATTCCCTGCCCAAGTCTCTTTTGCCTTTCTCTCTTTCTCATTTATACAAATTCAAATTGTATATAATCGTCCTATACACTTATAATTATATAATTTGTTTCATACAATCCTCTGCCCTAGTCTCTTTCTCTTGCTCATTTTATACAATTCGTTTCAATTGTATATGTATAGCAAATTATACATTTATATGTTTGTTATAGAGTATAATTATGTAAATTTTGCTATAGCATACAAATATTAATTTTATACTTTGTTATATATAAAAGTTACCCTTGTTTAAATAGATTGTCGGGAATGGCCAGGTGGTGCTAATTTTTCTTATTAAAAGGAGTCCATGGCCCAATCCATACAAATTGATTTAGCCTTATATAAGATAGGCTGTTTCTCCGGGTTCTGTCCTCCGGTCGCCGTCTCAAGCAAAAAATGGTAAGCTCTTAGCCATGGTGAACTTCCTTCTCCACAACTCCTTTTTGGAATATGTATTCACATTTCTGTTTCTTTGTTTGTGGAAAATGTAGGCTCCAAAGAAGGGTGTTGCAGTATCAGCTAAGAAGAAGCCAGAGAAGGCGAAGGTGTTGAATCCACTGTTCGAGAAGCGGCCAAAGCAGTTCGGTATTGGTGGAGCGCTGCCGCCGAAGAAGGATGTAACAAGGAATGTAAGATGGCCTCGGAATGTTACCCTACAAAGGAAGAAGAGGATTCTCAAGATGCGATTGAAGGTTCCTCCTGCTCTAAACCAGTTCACCAAAACCCTTGATAAGAATCTCGGTCAGTATACTATCATTATCCTAATTTCATGTTGCGATTTTGGTTAACAATTAGACAACCAATCATCTATGTCCAATCCACTGTATTTGCAGCTGCTTCATTGAGAATAATGATAATACCTTTTTGGCCCGTGTGAACTTTTACCGGAACTTACGTCATGAGTAACAAAGAAATTAATTAGGAATTGAGTATTTTATTGGAACTATAATGCGTTTGAACTATGCCTCACTTACTTGAAGACAGTTGAATGAGTTGTTATTGTGCTTGGCTTGTGGATTCTCATGATTCCAATTATGTCACCTCTCGGTAAAGTTTGCTAAGACCTCGTCTTTTGATGGGCGAGCAATATGGATGACACCTGCAGGCTCACATCTCTGAAACTGTTGGCTGGATTATTTTATTAGTTCATAACCAACTAACCAAGAGGCAGACTGAGCTATTATTTTCCCTTTTAGAAGAAGCTCTTTTGGGGAGAAGTACAATTAATTCAGAAACTACCACTGTTATATTTTGTTCGAATTCATCCTGGAATAATACATTTTGCATATTCTTAGTTCTATACATTTGTATTGTTTCTTTAAGGGGTGTTAAATTTGATTGTACCTAATCGGATAGTGATATTTGTTCAAGACCATTTTTTTCCAACATGTTTGACTTTGCTGTCTCTGTGCCTATTGAATCATGTTGGACTTTACTGTGTCTGTGTCTATAGAATCATGGACTATAGGGAAATTATTAAGTTGTGGTCAAGGTCAGTGTATTATTGTCTCTTCATTTATTATTTCTCATTTTCTTTTGTAAAATGGACTTGTGCTTTTGCAAAGTTCTTGGACAAATAATTTTTTGTTGCATTTGCTTTTCACTGCTAGCCTAACACCTGAAAATATATCGATCATTTTGTGGAAAAATACTTTTTGGGAAAATGTAGTATTACCTTCTTGTGGTCATTCTTAAAAGACTAAGCTGCTGCCATGTAACCATCATGCGTTCCTACTTTTCCAGTAGACCAAAATTGATTGTATTATTTATCATCTCTCAACTCATTTTGTTTTGCTTTACTTGCATGAGTTAATTTATCACAGTGATACTGATTTGAATTTTTCCAACGACTTTGCTCTCTAAATGCAGCTACAAACCTTTTCAAGATGCTTCTTAAGTACAGGCCTGAGGACAAAGCTGCAAAGAAGGAGCGTCTTGTTAAAAGGGCTCAAGCTGAAGCAGAAGGAAAAACTCCCGAGACAAAGAAACCTATTATTGTGAAGTATGGGCTGAAGCACATCACTTACCTTATTGAGCAGGTTTGTTTCAGTCTTGCAAATTCTCTTCTACTTTCTCAAGCACTCTTTTGATCTTTCTAGTAACTATTTTCCATTGATGCCCTTTTAGAACAAAGCTCAGTTAGTAGTGATTGCTCATGATGTGGACCCAATAGAGTTGGTTGTCTGGCTTCCTGCGCTTTGCAGAAAGATGGAAATCCCTTACTGCATTGTGAAGGGGAAAGCACGTTTAGGATCGGTAGGTAATACTATGTCTGTATACTTAATGTTTCCCAACAGATTAGATACTAATATTGATGACTTTGCACAGATCGTGCATAAGAAAACTGCTTCAGCCTTGTGTTTGACAACCGTGAAGAATGAAGACAAAATGGAGTTTAGCAGAGTTTTGGAGGCAATCAAGGTATCTTTATTAGTGACTAGTTTAGTTTGTATTGCATTTTGCTGAAAAGCTCTTCTAAGATTCGTCCTTCATGCATGTTTACTTTTTCAGGCTAACTTCAATGACAAGTATGAAGAGAACAGGAAGAAGTGGGGTGGTGGTATCATGGGCTCCAAGTCACAGGCCAGGACCAAGGCCAAGGAGAGAGTTCTAGCTAAGGAAGCTGCGCAGAGATTGAACTAAGAGCTTTCTACAATTGGATTCGAGAGCTGCTCTGCCAATATTTGTGTTTGGTTCACATGCTTGACAATGTTAGAGACATTAGTTCGATATGTACCTTGATGTTTGTCATTTGCATATTATTGCTCTGTCGAAGAAGCTTTAAACTTTATGAGAAGTTCTTGTTACATGAGTTTGTTTTTGTGCCTGCGAAATGCTCAGTTACCACCTATTCCTCATTAATCTAGTGCTTACTCTCGTCTACGAATTTGTGCTTTTGAACTCTTCGGTGGTGTAGCACTGTGTATGTATGTCTTCGTTGTTGATACATAGGGTTAAAACTCAACCAGGGTGCTGGTTTAGATGAGAGACCAACAACCCACTTTCCTATTTTTCAAGCTAAATTTTTTTGGAGAAAGACTTGATACTATAATTTTACATTTTTTTGTCTTTTGAGTTAAGCCAAAAGAGATGCATAATTAACATTATATGAATCCCATTTTGGCTATTTTGGTGAGATTATTTGACTAGTTATCATATTAGATCTACAAAATTTGAAAGTAAATTTCATTGTATAAGGTTTGAAGATAGTAGCAGAAGAAAAGCTGTAGAAGTTGCAATCAACATTTGGCTGTTGGAAGTGTATATGCATAAACACACTTTTAGCAAAATATTCGAATCTAAATATGCATTCGTAATTTTTCAACAAAAATTATTACCTTGCAACCTCGACTTGCTTAAATATCATGTTATAAATAAATTGAGCCTGCACCTGCATTTAATTTTCTTCCTGTCACTATCCTATTTCCCTTGTCTCATTTTTCATCCACAAATATACAAGGATATTTTTTTCCACTTGTCACCAAACCAGACACGTACGCATACGACGCCGTTTGCTTCTTTATTTTTCAATTTGTTGATACATTCCCTTGTTCTGTGTTGAATCAAGAACCCCAAATCCCCCGCAGCAGAAGTAAAGACTTTTGTGAAAGCTATTGATGGCGTGTACACCTATATTTAATTCTCTTTGAAAAACGTAAAAAGAAACCCAAAAGATAAGAATATCCACAAAGTTTATTGTTTCAAATTTGTTCACATTTCGACCCCTTTTTTCCCTGTTCTAACGAAGCCTACATGATCCACCACCTACTGAGCTTACCTGTGAATCAATTGTTTTGCTCTTTATAACTGTGTTTGTCGATTTGGGTTGGTGTTGAATTACATAATTGAAGGTTGAAAGTGAAGAAAGAGTGAGGAAGAGGAGAGGACACAAGATGGTTAATCAGATTGTATCAAAAATTGGTTCTTGGACTCGTAACAAGATTGTTGATCCTCTTTATCACATCCTCCAAAGGTAGCTAACGATAACCCTTTTCCCCTTTTCTTTCTTATGGCGTTTTAATATATGCTTCTGATGTATGAGTGAATTGAAAGGGTCATTCAGGGAGAGAAGATTGCATTTTCTTAATTAGAACTAGTTTGGATCAGTAATAGCTTGTTTGGATGGTTGTTATGTATCATTTCATAGTTTATTTTGTTGTGTTGCGTTTTGGAGATTGTATGGATCAGTAATAGATTGTTTCATTTTCGGTTTCGTAATGTCACTCTCCAGCAATTTGAATGAATGGTTAAGTAGAGTGTAACTAAATACTCTTTCAATTTGTTTGTTGGGTTGAGACTTGAATTCGAGTTTAAGAAAGTAAATACTCCTAACACTTTTGAATCTCGTAGTTTTAAACTAAAGATACTAAATGTCTTTTTAATCTTGTGGTCTTAAATATCTCCGGTGGAGAGTTGAAACTAAAGAGTTGCCGAAAAAGAAAGAGATATTCTTTTTGAAATTGAATAAAAGAAAAGTAAAGCAAATAAATTGAAACAGAGGGAGTAGTAATTAAGGTAAAGAAACAGGGTAATGAGCAATCTCACAAAACCGGTTGTTACATAAAGTTTTACTTTTCACTGTTACATGAAAACAAATTTAACAATATTACACAATATAATTTAAGTAGCAATGAGAGCATGCTTTCAAAGTAATAATAGGATACAATAAAACATGTAACAACCATCCAAACAAGTTGTAAGCTTTACCTTAGGTGATTTTTTTTGTAATCAAGTGTCTGATTAATATTCAATTACTGGTAAATTTCTAATGACAATATTGCAAATAAGAAGCTTTACTGATTTTTACAATGAATGGTTTTCTCGATTTGCTTTAAGGGGAGCAGAGCCAAAACTGTTGGCGTTCTCTGCGGCTCTCGGTATCACCTTTGGGGTATTTCCAATTTGTGGTATGTTCTGTTAAGCTGGAATTAGTTCTTATAATCTCTGTTTATGTAAATTCATCTGTATTTACTTTCATAAGTTTGTGGTGTAATCTCTAACTATGCAGCCAAATTCAGATATTCCTAGGATATAGTTTTATGAAAAAATAGAAGGTTTTCTTGACTCTAATTTAGTTATTTAATCAATGTATTGACTATTGAGAAAAGTGGGAATCTTGAATTGCAGGGAGATGACAATGGTAGAAAAATTATTAATAAGTCAAATCAGTAAAGTTACTTTTAATGGAGTCGAAATGGCTTGAACCTTGCAAATCAAAATGCTAATGAAATACTATATTATAAGATGGTAATTTGATAGCCTCCTCATAGATAATCTTCCAAACACTTCTGGGAGACTTCATCGTTACTGGTTTCAACATGTTTTACAGACTTTTGGGATTGTAGAAGTGAATCTATTGATTGGGAGAAAAACCGACGTGCCTGTTCATATTACACTTATTGAATTTCTATGTGGATTTGGAATTGATGGTCCTATGAATTGGTCAGCAATTGATTGGTTGCCATTCAATGTCATTTTAAGTGTTCCCATAAGCATAGGCTTGATGTTTGAATTATCTTCCTTAAAAGTTAAAGTGGTTTTTTTTTGGGACATGCTGTGGAACTAATATGCAGTCTGGAGCAAAGCCAGCTTTTGTACTTATTCCTTTGGTATCAGTTTGGTTAGTTGAATATCATCATCTAGAATCGCAACTGTAAATTCATGTTTTTACTACTTTTTTTATGGTTATATGATGGAAATATTCTTAGTTGATGAAGTATCTGGGTTTTTTCCCCCTAAGAAGCTGACACAAACTATGTATTAAGAAATAAACAGCTGCTCAATATCTTCCACTTGACTATCCTTAATTCTTTTTAGTGCTGTTGCTACTTGTGAACAACTCTGACTTACAGCAGGGTGTGTGTATAGTTGTTTTCTTCCTGCCCCAAGTTTGTCTCTAATTTTAAAATCCTTGCAGTTGATCGTCACCTCGTTTTGCTTGCTTCAATCTGAGACAGATCTTCAGTAAATTGTGAAGCTTTGAATCTCATTTTTACTGATACATCTCTTCCACCTTCTTCCTCTTCAGAAAATCTGCAATGTGCCCTCCACTTTTGATACTCATAAAAGTTTGCTGAACCACCCTTCTGGAAATCAATTCTGATTTAGCTCTCAAACCTTGTCCTTTGTTCAATGATCATGTAGCACACCCTGCATGTGCTGCGTTTTTCAATCACCTTAAATTCTCAATGGGATGAAGAAGATCCATCTCTGCATTATCAAACTAAGTTATGGATTTTATTCTGGTCGGCCACCATAGTACTAAGACTGAAAGCCTTTCTTTCTCAGTCGTCTGTCTTAATCTTAATAAGCGGATTCCGATTCATGCAGTCCTTCTCTGCTGCATTGGTCTTTTCACTCCCCACTCTCCACCATAAAAAAATCTTTCCACTATATCTCAGGAGTAGTCAAAGGAAGTACGGCGGGTCCGAGTAGGAATAAATTGATTAAGAAGTAGGCTTTCTATAAGCAAGCTCCCTCCGGCAGTCTATCTAAGTGTCAAGTTTTAGCTCATAGGTGGTTCGTTTTGAAGTGACTTCATCACTGCATTATCAAACTGAATCATGTACTATAGAAGATTTGATTGCACTTCACGTAGCCATAGATATGGTTATGTTGCAGCGCAACGACAACCATATGTGGAATTAGTTTGGCGGCCATAATGTTGCTGAAATTTTTGGACAGATCTATGTGTGCGATGAGAAACGTGGTAGGTAATAATTACCAAATACATATAAATTGATGTAAACAGAGTCTGTCACTCTGTGGTCTTTTTCAAACAGAAAAATGATAATCTGCAGTTTAATTTTTTGTTGCTAGCTAGAAACATTTGGGTGAGTTGACTTCTGGCTTGATTGAATCCTATTGAATTTTGTTAAGCAAATACAACTTATGTGCAATCTATTCTTCCAACAGGTGTCACAGTATTCCTATGTGGTATCGCTATTGCATTGTTGGGATCCTATTGTCATGCTCCTACGATGATGTTGGCTAACTTCATTGCTACTCCTATTGAGTTGAGGTATTAGCTCAGTTATTTGATTGTTTTGCTGTCACTACTAGAGCCCTGATCTTTTCCCCCAAAGACTATTCTCATCGTGCCCCCTACCTGGTCCAAGATCATTTTTGTAGTTAGACATGTGTATTATAAAATTGGGATTCTTGTTATCAGTTCAATATCTATTTCTGCCATAGTTATTAGTATTGCACATGCTTCTTGTCACCAACTTTTATGCTAGGATTTGTAGAACACCTGTTGGAGGATATAGTTATTATATCTGTGGGTTGTGAGAAGTGGGAAACAGACAAAGATGTGGCATCATATTCTGCTTTTGATTATTGGCATCAATGCTACGCATTTGTTAATCTATGATCCCACATGATTTTAAGTTTTCTCAATTGCAGAGGCCTTCATTTGGACATAATATATGTGGGTATCTTTTTCTGTTCATCACTAAACTGTGTCAGAAAGGAGCAACTTCTCTCTTTATTTTTTATTTTTGAGTGATTCGCTCCAGGAATTATTGCATACCTTCGGCTTTAATATTGTACTTGAAATGACAATGAAGGGATTTCAGGTTAACAAAAACGATTGAATAAATAAATACATTTCAAGTCTTAAAAAATCATGAGTTGGTAATGGAGTAGCTATGCTTTGGTGAAAAATGTACAGCCCTATTTAGTGTTGGGGGGTATTGACTGTTGGGCCTGAATTTCCTCCACGTTACGTTTTAGGAATAACATTAATTAGTTCTTCACAAGGGTTTAAATATGATGCTTTCCAGCTGCGTAGGTTAGTGTGCCCAGCGTAATCTGCCTGTGTTGTTGATGATGTCTGCTTTGAGGTGAGGAAAGATTGTTGTGTTACTTTGTGTTCAAGAAAGCAAGTCACAGGGTAGTCCCCAGTGAGGTTACACTGTGATCTTAGTTTAAGCTATATTATGTCATGCTTTCAACGTCTCGGTAAACTTGTAGTTTCATCTATGCTTAAGTCCTCACTTAGTGCTCTGCCTTCCACTTTGCAGTCTGATGATTCCATTTCTACGCCTAGGTGAGTCTATCACTGGTGGACCTCATTTTCCTTTGACTGCTGATGCACTAAAAAAAGTCTTCTCTGGCGAGGCTTCAAAGGAAGTCTTGTTCAGCATTTTCCGTGCGGTAAGTGAAGAAGTTTTTGCATCCGAGCATCTCTTCCTTCCTTCCTTTCTTATATCAGTATCATCTTCTTGATAGTTAGATCAATTCATCTATTGATATGGTTTTCTTCATGATTTTGCCGGGCTTCTTTATTCCATTTATACTACATGCTGCATTATAAGTAACAAAAGAAGAAGAAAGGACATTTTTCAGTTATCCATTCTTTGTCGTTCTTTGAAGTACTGTAAAGCATCCATTTCCTTCATCCTGAATACTTATCGAAGAGTCACATGTTATGCATGGATGTGTGGAATATGTATTTATGACTTGATGGTGCGCAAAATATCATATTTTTACTATGTGTACAGTTTCAACATATCTATCTCTGCATGAAGGATTATTTTTCTGATGCTGTTGTAAGCTCGTCGAGACTTGTTCTTCACATTCTTTGACTGACTTTTAGCAATGAACTTTGGACAACTTTTTCAGATGTTGGGCTGGCTTGTTGCTGTACCATTCATCACAGCAGGACTTTATCTAGTGTTTCTGCCATGTTTTGTGATCTTGGTTCGCAAGTTCAGTACCCGTCCTCCAAGCCCGAAGACTCTTCTCCAACCCCTTACAGAAGTCAGTGTTAAAGCCAGGGATGCATGATTGATAATTGTAGTTTAAATGTGTTAAAAAGTTTCTGCTAATACTTATTGCTTGTGAATAGGAATTGGGGGAGTCTAGCACTAGCAGTTCTGTACTTGTATGAAGTTCAATATTTTTCCCAAAGTTCTTCACTTGCTCATGAACTCGCAGCTTCGCCACAAGTGATGAGGGGGGCCGGCGACTACATGAGGTGGGGAATTTCAATCACCTCCTCGTTTTATATATATATATATATATATATATATATATATATATATATATATATATATATA